GTCTGACATATGCCGTGTTTCCTACTGGTGCACCCCTACCTTCTCAAAGGAGCCAGAGGTGTCTTTTTCATATTCTTTAGGGTCAAGCTCAATTATTATAATTTCACAACATTCAGATTGAATTATTTTGTTGCTATTGTACTTTCCATTTGCACTGTTGTCATTCCACATACTATTTTCCTAACTGCTTACTTCACTTTGAATTAATTCATCCATGTTTTTCTGTGCTTCTCTGTATTCGCCATGTTCATTGTTTCTTATGACACAATAGTATTCCATTACAGTCATGCACCATAATTTGTTTAGACATTCCGCAATTGATGGGCATCTACTTTGTTTCCAATTCTTTGGAAACCAAGAGTGCTGCTAACAAAATTGTGGTGGGGCCTTTCTTACTGTGTGTGCTTTTTTTTTTTTTTTGGTGAGGCAATTGGGGTGAAGTGATTTGCCCAGGATCACACACCTAATAAGTGTCAGGGGTCTGAGGCCAGAATTGAACTCCACCCACAATAATACACTAAAGAGTTTATCTTTGCACAATCCCTCTAATATTGAATATTCCTATATTTTATTACTTTGGCCTATTTGCTTTGATGGGAAGTAAAACCTTAAGGCCTTTTTATTTGCATTTCTTTTTTTAGTAGTAATTTGGAGCATTCTTTCATATGGGTGGTAATAATTTGCAATTCTTCTTTTGAGGTTTGTTCATATCTTTTAACTGTTTATTGGTTCCGGTTCTATAAATATCTTGGATATCAGAACCTTATCAGAAATATTTGACACTGATTTTTTTCCCCCAGAACACTTCCCTACTTTTCCTAAATGCATGAGTTTTCTTTGTCCAAGAGCCTTTCAACTGCAAGTAATAAAAATAACCTATTTTCTTTTTCATCTTTTGTAATTGCCTCTGTCCCGTGCTTGGTTAAGAACTTACCCCTTACCCATAGCTGTGAATTGTTTTTCATCTGATTTTTTAATCGTATGATCTTTAATATTGAGGTCATGTATCCATTTTGAATTTGTTGTGTTACTGTGGAACATGGTATAATATATTTGTCTAAGTCTAATTTCTGCCAACTGCCTTAGGCAGCTAGGTGGTGCAGTGGATAGAGTGCAGAGTCAGGAAGACTTTATCTTCTTGAATTCAAATCTGGCCTCAACCACTTAACCCCTTTTTGGTCTCAGTTTTTTTGGTTTCAGTTTCCTCATCTGTAAAAAGAACTGGAGAAGGAAATGGCAAACCTCTCCAGTATTTTTGCCATGAAAACCCCAAATGGGATTGATTAGTCACAAAGATTTGGCCATGACAGCTAAGTAGGTAGAACTAAATTGAATTCTATGACCCTTTCAGGTCAAGATCTATGATGTGATGATGCATGATGTACTGTGTATGTGCAAGCCTTTGTTTATGTGCATTTTACTTCTTGTATCTTATCTCTCATCCTCTGGCCCCAAATCTGAAATTATTAAAGAGTGAAACAAATGAACAATGGGGGTATTTTCTACCACTCAAGGCCAAGCCCAGTAGTTCTCTTGGCCTTTAGGTAGAGCTATATATGGAAAATCCAACTTGGTCAAGGTAGTATTGAAGGCATGCCTCACCCTTTCCCTCTCAGTGTTATTTCTCAATAAGCTTAAATCTCAAATGATTCTATTCCCTTGTCCTACTATCCCTTCATCCTCTTCCCTTATACTCTGCTCCTACCTCTCTTTCCCCTTCCCTGTCGTTCCATAAACCTGAATTTCAGTGTTTTCTCCTTTCTCTGAAAGGGGAAGTGGTCCCCTGGAAGATGTGAAGGTGGGATAAGTAGGGAAGGAGGATTGTAAGTGCATAAAGAGGGGTGGAAAGAGCAATAGATTTGGAGTTACCGAGTTCAAATCCTGCCTCTGACATTTACTATGTGTCTGACTTTGTGCAAATTTCCTAATTGCTTTCTGCCTCAGTTTCCTTATCTGTAAAATGAGGAGGTTGAGCCAGATGGTTTTCAAAGTCCTTCCCAGCTGTAAATCAATGCTATGCTCTTCCCTCCTCTTCTTGTTCCTGGTTCCTGGTCCTTACCACAATCTCCACAGGGTGGGGGGATGGGGCAGGTGGGGCTCCCAGGAAAGAGCACTGAGGGACTCCTTGGTTCCCATGGCCACCTCCCGTGAGTGCAATCCCTCTGGTCCTTCCTGGAGCTAGCTCACGATTACCTGTATTTGAAGGTCATTCCTAGTAACCATCTATTAGCTGTGTGGTTGGTTACGTGTAAAGTAGTTAGGTGGGTTGTATTATGAAAGTGGATATGGACTTAAGATGGAAGGAAGGAAGAGGTGGGGCATGAAGTGGAAAGCTAACTGATAAGCATGTGCTGTCTGCTGCATAATTGTACCTGGTATGAATGTTCCAAAGGCAAAACAATGATTTATTATCTGCTGCTTTAGATCGTGGAAGAAATCAATAGACAACTGCATTTCAGTCAAAATCTATCAGAGATGATTTATTAGAATTGAAGCATTTCTGCTTGACTAGAGGTTCAGATGGGCAGAGAGTCTGAATTTGAACTCAGGTCTTCCTGACTGCAGGTAGAACATAATACCCATTGCACCACCTAGCTGCCTCTAAAATCAAGATACAGAGTTTAGGGGGTTTTGATTTACCAAGCAGAACAATGTTCATGCTAATAGTGGCCCACCTTGGGGGAAAAATAGCTTCTTGAAATGCCCTCTAAAGATGTCCCTTTCCATCTGGACAGAAGTAAATGAAGGGATACTTCTTTTTATTGGATTAAACAAAGATATTCCAACTCTTAGTCTGGTTACCATAAGCAAGACAGACTCTAATGATTTTAGAATGGGAGAGAAGTAAGATTCTCCGTGAAAGTGATGAGGTCTTTGATTCCAATGAGATGGACTTCAGACCAGGGTGCTGTTCATATAACTCTTAATTTTTAGGAAACTCTGAGGGTTTGGTGCTGTGTGCTTCCACAGTATTTTCTAGGCTCCTTTTGCCTAGACACCATTAGAATATAAATGTAATAAGGGTTTGAGAACTGATTGGCACCTTGGTATTTGTAGTTCAGGGGGATGGGCAATACTCTTGGCCTGGTGAACAATCTTGGTCTAGGAAGCACCTCCCGGAGTTCTTAAAAAGAATCACACAGTCTTTGAGAGACAGACTGAGAAGATGGGAATCCTCAAAAGCAGTAGCACTAATGAGGTCAAGCTTCCCAGCCCCATCTACGACTTAACAAGTTAAGTAAGAAAGAAGGACTGACATGTCTGTGGCAGAGAATGAAGAGATCAAGGGGGACCATAAACCAGGAAAGGCAGCTTTAGAGCATGAAACTCCATCTAAATGAAGCTACCTCTTTAAAGACCGAGGGGAGCTCTAAGAAAAGGTCTGCTCATTTCTCTATTTTCTGTCACAGGGCCTGTCCATTAACAGACATTGTAAAATATTCTAATTTCTTCTTTAACCAAATATTTCCAGCTAGAGATGAACATCAGTTTAAATCAGGACTGAGAGCTAGTGTCAAAGTTAGGACCCTTCTTGACAGGGGGCTCTGAGCTCTTTAGATGGTATGCCTAATTTTATACTTAATGCAAGCTCCTTAAAATGATAGAGAAGGGAATTATATGGACCTGAGGCGGCATTACATTGCTCCTAGGCTAAAAAAAAGCAGATTGTTCTAACCAGGGTGTGTTACTGCAGGGTGTGTCTCTGAAGATAAATATTAGCCAAGCAGCTGACCTCCTTTCAACACCCACTAACACAAGGGTTACACAAGTTTCTTGAGGGCAGGAACTGTTTGACTTTTGACTTTGTATACCCAGTACTTTGTACAATGCCTGGCACTGAGGAGGCACTTAATTGATTGATTGCTTTCCAATTTTTGACTTTAGGTTGCCTCATGTAAGGTTAAGCAAAATGCCTATCTTAGTAGGCAGGGTGTCCAGGGATGTAGGCTGGTGAACCTTGTAAAACTATGAGCAAGGCAAGTCCCTCTCATCACTGCCAGACAGGCCATCAGACAAGTATACACAGTTGCCCTCTGGCAGAATACAAACCTAGATTCAATGGGATATCTGGGCTCCATGGAAGGAACTGATAAGTCCTGGGCTGCCTGGCCTGAGTCATCCTTATCTTAGCTCTGAAGCAGCCCCAGCTCTCTAACACCCAAGCCTTATCTATCTTCTTCTATGCCAAGGCAGGTAGCTTGACGCAGTGAGAGAATTACTGTGCTAGGGATGAAGGGATTGGGGTTCTGCTGTTCACTTGCTCTGCCCCTCCCTAAATGACTTAATCTGCCTGGGCCTCACTTGTAACATGAGGAGGGCTGGATGAAGTCATCTCTGAGGCCCCTTGCAGCTCTTTCTGTACTGTGACTATTTAGATCCAAGCTCTGCTACCAAGCAGAAGTGAGTCTCAGGGCACAGGTCCCGGGCATCCTATACATTTTGCTCTCCTGCCCCAGCCCCATGTCTTTCTGTAACTTGGGAAATCACTTTTGGTGTCTGGGGCTGCATTTTGTCACCTGGAAAAAAGGGGACAAGGGAAAAGTCCTGCCAAGCTGAGGTAGTGAGGTATCCTCAGAGAGAGACATTGGAGGCGGCATTAACAAGGCAGGTGAGACCGCTCCCACGATGGCCAACATCCACACTCCAATTTGGGTGGGTGCAGCTGCCCAAGAGCCCCACGAGTTGCAGTGCATCACATAGGCTACTGGCCTTGCCTCGATATCCCACTCTGTCTGACATCACCCAGGTGGGCAACCCCAGTGGGGAGGAACTACAGCCCCCCAACTTCTCAGAAGTCACAGCTACTGAAGGACCCACAATGGAATCTTCTGGGCACCAAAGTCCTTAGCACGTTAAAAATAGGTAAGGTTTTATCAGTCGAATGACACCAAAGAAGATGTATTTGTGTGCCAGCTTTGTCTCTCCATACACACTCTAGCCAAACTGGATTATGTGTGGTCTGGACCAGTGGATCTTTTCATCTCCCCTACAGGTAAACCCTCCCCCTATTAGAACGTAAAGTCTTTCGAAACAGAGACTGTCTCAATCTTCTATTTGTATCTCTGGACCTCAGCATACTACTTTGCACACAGTAAGTGCTAAATAAATGTTTTTTCATTCATTCACTAAGTAGCAATCTTAGAGGTGGCTCCCTCAAATCTTTGAGTTAACAGACAGAGGCATTCTTTCTCTCTCTCTCTTTTTTGGTGAGGCAATCAGGGTTAAGTAACTTACCCAAGGTCATATAGCTAGTAAGTGTCAAGTGTCTGAGGTCACATTTGAACTCTGGTCCTCCTGACTCCAAGGCCAGAGCTCTATCCACTGAGTCACCTAGCTGCCCCTAGACAGAGGCATTCTTACAAACATTCAACCAAAGTAGTCCTTAGGGGAAATTTTATATCTCTAAATACTTTTTGGTAAGAATTTCCCCTATGTGAAAGACTTAGATGAACTGAAGCCAAGTGAATGAGCAGAACCAGGAGACCATTGTATACAATAACAGCAATGTTGTCCAATGATCAACTGGGAAAGATTTAGCTACTCTGATCAATACAATGATCCTAGACAATTCCAAAGGACTCATGATGCAAAATGCCCTCCACTTCCCGAGAGAGAACTGCTGGACCTGTTTTTCACTGAAATATGTCTTATTATTTGTATTGTATTTCTTCTCCATGTTACCCACTCCCTAAGATATTACTCCCACTCTTCTGAGATATTAGGAGAATAATTCATAAAGTTGGCTTTTCATGGAATTCCTCCTAATGATAAGACCCTTTAAGAACCAAGGGTTAGCACAGTATGCCTATGTATGCTAAAGGGTTTGGAGAGCAGGTACGTTAGAGCAAGTGTAGATCTCTCCTAGGCTGTAACTATAAGAAAGCACAACTCCTTACTTCACACATAAAGCTTATTATATACTTTGGTAGTATATTAGGCAAGTAGGTATTGATCCTGAGCTTCTTATATCAAGGAAACGCTCTGAGTAGTTTTTAATGTTTATGACAAAACAGGGTCTTGTGTGCTGGACAGGGTGTAATTTTTTGATGAGTTTATATTTAATTTTCAGCCCACACTAGCTCTGTGGTCACAAAGGAAGACTGTGCGAAGGGTTCTGAGGTCTGGTGTCAGAATTTCAAGACGGCATCTGAGTGTGGAGCCATTGAACACTGCCAACAGACTCTCTGGAATGAGGCAACAGTGGTGAGTGTGTTTACTCAATCATTATTTCTGAACTTTCCTAAATCTTTCTGGAGTAATCTAATTGCTTACATTATTCACTTAAATGTAGTACCTTTTCAGGTGTCCAGTAGATATACGGGCTGGAATGGTTGCCTGTTGGTTAGTACTGAAACTCCCATAGATTTTTTTCCTCTTGATCCTTATAAGGCCTGAGGTGAGCTGATTGTGAAGGTGAGGGCAAAACATACAGTCTACCCTATTGCATAAATGTTGTTCAGTTGTGTCTGACTCTCTGTGAACCCATTTGGGGTTTTCTTGGCAAAGATGCTGGAGCCATTTCTCTCTCCAGCTCATTTTACAGATGAGGAAACTGAGATAAACAGAGTTGAGTGACTTGCCCAGGGTCACACAGCTAGTAAGTGTCTGCAGCCGGATTTGAACTCAGGAAAATGTCTTCCAACTTGAGACCCAGTACTCTAGCCACTGTGCCATCTGGCTGCCCATTGCGTAAGTAGGAGACAGCAGAAAGGAGGCCAGGTCACCTGACCATTGGATACACCAGTCTTCAACTGCCTCTCTACCCAAGTGGCTTCAGCAAACATTGATGGAGTTTGAGTGCCACACGACTGAGTAGGAAATAGAAAGAGTGCCTTCCCATAAGGGATCAACATTACCACCGTTGTTGTTGCTGTAACTATTAGGGGACTGAACTATGTGGAAGCCATACCTAGCCAACTGTAGCTGGTTTTTGTTTTTGTTTTTGTTTTTTTTTT